TATATGTGCATATATATAGTTATTTATTTGTAATGACAGAGAAATTTCAAGATGATTCTTATTTATTAACAATAAGAGAAATTAAAAGAAATAAATTTTAATATATTATATTATATATCATACTTTCCTCTTTATACACTACTAGAATTTATCTTATTACATGCGAATTTTTCTATGAATTTTTCATAAAAATTCATAGGAAACGTTGTTCCTGCAAACAGGTAATACCTTCGTGGATAATATTTTTTTGTGAATTTTAAAATTCGCAGGAAATTTTCCTGCGAAATTTTTTGCAAAAAAAAATTTGCAGAAAAGTTTCCTGCAAAAAAAATTTGCAGGAAAGTTTCCTGTGAATTTTTTCGCAAGAAATTTTGCAGGAATATTTTAAAAAAAAATTAAAAAAAAATACTATAAATTCTATCAATAATTTTTCAACTTTCAAATGCTCACAATGAATTCATCCGAAGCATTTTTTTTATGCCTCCAACATGTGATACATCATCTTTTAAATTCTAAGATTGTAGATTATAAGCCTAACACTCAACCATATAAATCAACTTATTAGGTAAGTGTTGCCCCAACTTATATACTCTTTAATTGCTTTATTTTTAATCGAAGTGAGACTTGAAGTTTTTTTAAAATATTAAACTTATAAATTTAAATATATATTTTTTTTTATTTTTCCTTCAGATTAAAATTTGTAAGAAAATCCGCAGGAAAAGTTACCTGCAAAATTTTTCTACCATTTAGTAAATATTACGTGCGAATTTATTTTTGCAAGAAACAAAATAAAATTCTTACAATATTTTCTACAAATTTTTTTCTATGGAAAAAAAAAATTCTATGATTATTAAAATTGTAACAAAATTTGTAAGAAATATTTGTAAATTATTTTTCGCAAATAAATTCGCAAAAAATTTCTGCGAATATTTTTTTGCAGAAAAATTTACAAAAAATTTCTGCTAATATTTTTTTGCAAGAAAATTCGCAAAAAATTTCTACGAATATTTTTTTTGCAAGAAAATGACACTTTTCTAGTAGTGATATTTAACATTATTGATTTATTTTTTAAAAATTACAAATATATTTTTATTGAAAAATAGAAACATCAAATATCAATTGATTAATTATTTTATTAATATATTTTTTATATATAATTTATTTATGTAAAAAAATTTATATTTATATAAATTAAAAAAAATTGATGTCGTTACTTAAAAAAAATTCTAGAAGATCATTTATTTTAACTATATTCATGAGTACTATTATTGTCGAGGTCGATCATTAGATCATAATCATGAAGGCTATTAAAATTACGGTGAGAACAATATAATTTTAATCCTTCGTCTAGGATAATAGGCTTTTCATAACATGAACACACTTCAAAATTGTGACAGCAAAATGCATACCTTTGTGTGTACTTTTTGGTCGTTTGGAATTAAGGAGTATCCACCGTAAAGAAGCTCTTCGTACATTTTTTATTTATTAGTTTTCTTCTCTTCACTACATTTAATAGTACAGACATGAACATATGCATATTTAATTGAGCAATGGAAAAATTAAATTGCAAAACTGAAAAGAACGAACTGTAAGGCACATTTTATGTTATCCAATCTTAATGAATCCACAATTTAAAAAAAAAAAAAAAAAAGCAGAGTAATTTTTGTTGGAGAATCCAATGCTTTTTACTGTAATAGCTTCAACTAGAAGATACGTTGACAGCTTACTCATGGCAGAAAGTAATATATTAATCTATGTAGCTTTTCGAATTGATGCCTTGACACATGTTAATTTGAGTGAAACCTATATAATACACGTTTTGACACTTACAGTGATTTCTACTTGCGGACACCTATTTGATCCATTCGAGTGGTCATATTCTATTTTTCATACTGCTGTGACATTTCTCAAATTTTTTTCCTCCGTAA